TCTAAAAGATAAATCACGTCAACAAGAAAAATCTAAATTTTGTCAGCATGAGTTTAAAATTAAAATAGGCCTGAATTACATAGTTATTAATTAGAACGTCTCTAATGCAATAATGTGAATTGTTATACATATGTCAAGTAAAATGAATATAGAGAGAAGAACATCTCTGATGGAAATGTGCATTGTACTAATTGTGGATCACGTGTAGAAGTGTAAGAAGGCAGAAAACGAGTTGAGATAAATTATAAAAAATTTAAATAAATCAAGAATTAAGTGAAGGATGTCTAGCACACACCTTCCACACATAGATGGTGTGATGGACATCTTCCATCTTTCTTCTTGCCGTGTAAGTGAGATATAGTATACTTTTTGATGCAATTCACAGTCTCATTGGAGATACTCTTAATCAGTTGAGATTTGGAGGATTGTTTAAGTTGTTCTCTCTTCTTTTATGTACGTCGCTAGGGTTGAGGAAAAATTATAAAGCTAGTATCATGCGAGTTTTTCTGTTCTATTTGTGGCTAGTCCGAAGAGTAGAAGATTTTGTGTAAACCTTGAGTGATTACTTTTCCTATTATAGTTGGAGAATTTGCTGAGTAAAAAGTCAATACGATTGTAACAATTTTTCAGACCATAAAATTTTGACAATTCGTAATCTTTTTGTTTATATATACTTTTCCTGTCTCATTATTTTTACCTGTTCAAGGTTTTTGTGGGCAAATTAAAGAAAATTAGCCTCAATTCCCAAAACATATAATATTTTGAAATAATATGTATGTAAAGGATTTAGTAAATGAACTTCAATACCTAAACATGAGTTGACTTTTCTTCAATATATATCTTCTATATATTAAAAGTGACTATGTAACGGAATTTCTTGTTTTTAACGGAAAAACTAATGGAATTTGTTGTTTTAACGGACTATGTAATGGAATTTCTTGTTTTAAACCAGCAGCTGCACCTTCTTTCAGTGTTTTTATCATAACTTTGTATTCCGATCTCCGATTGAGCTGATTCAAAATGTGTTGGAAAGCTAACTCATCTGTATACAACTTTGATTCAGACATCAATCTCCAATTCGATCACTTTCTATGCCAAAAATAGGTCTCAATATGAGACTAAAACATCGGAGCATAACTTTTCGGTTGGAAATTGATTTGTGATCATCTTTTAACTAAATATGATTCC